CACTCCCCCCCCACCCCCCTCCACGTCATGGATGCCAACATGGATGCCAATGTTTCTTCTGTGCCTCCTCCCTCAGTTGGCAACGCCCACCCCAGTTCCTTTTCTGGCTCCGTGTATCTGGGTTTGTGCTCTTCGGAGGTGTTTTGTAACTACCTCCCATGACCGGGTTCTAGTGGCAAATTCAGCATGAACTGAAGTCTGTGGATTTTTTCGTTGTTACATCTTCCCCCAGTCCAGGTTGCTATCTGTGTCTAGAGCTGCCTCCTCCTTGCTCCTATGGAGCCGGTGTCTGACACCAAACCTCTCCTCCCCGGGCCTCTCATAGCGGCAGGACCACCCAGGAATCAGCCCAGCTCTAGCTCGGCTCCTTGGGGGAGTGGCCCCCCTGGTTATTGGCAAGGCTGCCAGAAACTTGGCTTCAAATCGTTCAGGTCTAAACAGGTGGTCTGGATACTCTGACAGGAACTGTGAATTTCAAAGCGGGAAGAGATAGAATCACACAAATGTCATGTTTCCAGACCACCCTGTGCCCCAGGAGCCAGGCCATCGGTGAAGGAACCATCTGAGTGGGAGGAAGAGCTCTAATCTACTTAGCCACCTACCTTAGGAATCCTGAGAGGGACTTCGGGGGGCAGGGGCAGATTACAAACCACCTCAAAAGCTCCTCCAAGGAAGGATGGAGACCCTAGGACAGATAGCGGCACCGCCATGACTCTGGGACACACTATGCCCGTAATAGAGGGGATGCTGCCCTCGGCCTCTGGGTAAGCAGAGGACTCTCAGGGGGCCTTCCTATAGGAGTCCAAGTGGACCTTTATCTGGCCTGGAGTATTGACTGATGTCAGAAAGAATATTGTTGAGTTACATTCTGTGGGGCCCTTCAGATGCCCTTTGACCAACTCCACCAGCCACCTCAAAAGCGGGCTTGGGAACTGGCAGCGTGGGGCTAACTTTGCAACCTATAAAGCTGGCCCTGCTGATAGGAAGGATATCAGTGGGGTCAGGAGCAGGGAATTCTGGGAAGGCAGCTCGAGAGCAGTGTGCATAAATCATAGAGTGGGAAGCGGAGTTGTGCGTGCTGCTGACTGGATGTGGGTGCCCATCCAAGGGAGCAACTGGGACTGAAACCCAACCTGTGCACCCAATTGGCAAGTGGGGCAGGATGCATTTCTAGGAAAAGAGGGTCCTTGTTTCTAGTCTGTAAAAGGTGCCATTTGAGATGATCACGACTTTAATGGAGAAGATATTGGCGGCAGCGATGAGGAGAACGCCAGAGGAACCCAGTAGCTGGCAGAAGGTAGCAAGGGCCTTGGGGTCCTTGGGGACTGCACCAGATGTGCTTCATGATCTTAGCCTGTTGAGATACCAAACAGACTATTTTATACCCACCTCCATTTATCCTCTCCACTCCATCCTAGCACCTGCCCCCAGCCCCGAGGCCTCTGTGACCAGAGGAAAGAAGGGAACTATTCATGACGCTGGCCCTAGCCACCCCAAATCTAATGACCCATTTCTGAACAGGGTGAAGATACCTGTGTGGAGAAGAGTCATCCTGTCTGCCTGTGACCACTTCTGTTGCTCATTCCCTAGCCAAGACCTTAGCCAAGCTAAGCTACCATGGTGTGGCTGAAGCCAGGTGAGAAGGGTCTGTTGAGTTCTTTCCATTGGGCTCTTTCCTATTTATAGCTTCTCTTCAGCAGCATCCACTGCGGATGGCAGCACACAGGTTCTAACCTGCCCGAAACCTCTAGGAAGATTCCAGCCTTGTCTGAAAGAGAACAACGTCCTACAGGAGGAAGCTTGGCTCCCTGCCTCTACAGCTTGGTGCAGAAGGCAGACAGGGAAGCAGAGCACCCTCTCCAGCTCAAGCACGGAGGGGAGGACTGTCCTGTGCTGTATGTGGGGATGGTCAGCCCACAGCAACCCTGGGAGAGTCTCCTATCTCCATTCTGCAGACGAAGACACCGCACTTTGCTGGGAAGAAACGTCCTTGGCCAGTTTGTGAGCCTGAGGGACTCCCCGTCTGAAATCCCTGGACGGCTGGCTCTCGCTGGTTTCTGGATTGTTTGTTATCTGTTTGTTTGTATGAGACACAGTCTCATACAAAGTATCTTCTTTGGGGAGAAAGAGACTCAAAAGAGTTAAAAAGAGCAGAAAACATCTGTGGAGTTCTGTCTGAGTAATTGTAGCCAGACTTCCTACAATCTTTCCCCCTTCCTGATCATTGCTTCAGGCCAATCTCAGGGAAGCTAGGCTCTAGGAAATTAGACTCCCTGCCTCTGACCCTGTCCCTGAGGACTTCCATACAGGTGAAATTATAGCGCTAAAGATGTACCATGGGAGGGTGAGAAGGGTGGGCAAAAGACGTCCGTGAACAGACGACCTATGGGCCTCACTCATTCTTAGCCCTCCCCTCTCCATTTTTAAATCCCAGGAAGAACCTTTTTTTTTTCTTTCTCCAGCCAATTTCTCAACCCAGTGTTGAAACAAAGCCTCATCCTTGTGAGAATGACTGCCAAGGTCTGAACTGCAGTCCATAAAATGTAAGAGTAGGAAGGGCCATGATAACAGCCCGTGTTCACTGAATTCTTGTTTCATAGCCAGACACCACTATCGAGACATCACACACACACACACACACACACACACACACACACACACACACACACACGTACATGTGCACAAATGCAAAGATGGACAGTGAAGCCCATAATGGGTCTTTCATCTCTTATGAAGGGGAACCTAAACAACCAGGCTCCTAGAAGCTTCCCTGCCACTCAAAGATCATCCCTCCTGCTGCCCCCTCCCCATTCCACAGGCTAGGTAGGATACAAGCTCAGGTCAAGGTCAGAACCAGTAGAAATGTCAGAACTCAGGGCTCTTTACTGTATCTGGGGTCTCAGTACCTAAGACTCCAGGAATATGCTAATTACCACACTCAGAGTTTGATCCCATCTAACGCTTCAAAGGAGACAATTCCTAAATGCATATTTATCTGGATGTGCCAGTGGCGGACATCTGCACTGCACTCTAGCATCCCTAATGGGCTCAGAGGCTAAATATAGCTTCCACCTATGGGTTAAATATAGTCTTCACTCCTCGCCTCCTCAGCAGGCGGATGCAGACAGAAGCCAGGAGGAACCACGGCGCCGCGCACATCCAGCAGAGCTCCAGCAACCACTGCAAATGCTCCCTGTGAGGATGGCAAATATTTTGATAAACTTTCCCCCAACAGGATTCTCCCGTGCTGAACAAATGGACACACAGTCGGGAGCCTTCTCTCAGAATTCCACAGGAAGAAACATTACATCAGGGGAGGGATCCGAGTCTCTTGACTGTGGAGGAGAGAAATGGACTACTCTCAGGTACACACAGAAGACAGCAGAGGACTGCCCAGAGGTCCTGATGCAGGGTGGGGAGGTGAGGAGCCTTCAGGGGACAGCATCTGGGGGAAAGGTGACAGCAGGGTCACTGAGAGCATAGCCTTGGGGCAGCTCCACCCAGGCTGTGAGGGCTGCTTCTGCCGCTTCAAACAGCGTGATCTCAGCCTCATGCTTTGGCTTTCTGCCATCTCAGGACCAGGATCCTCTCCAGTCCCCAAACTCCTTCAGGGATGGCAGGAAGAGGCCTACATGACCTGTGCTCCACGGCACAAGTCTCCCCTGTTGCCACTGGAATTAGGGTTCATTCTAACCAGATGAGGATGCTGAGGACACCCCTTTACAGGTCTGGGCAGTGGGGGAAGCCCCAGATTCCTTCCTCAAGACATATGTTCACAAAGACAGATTATTGTTTTTGAAAAAGACACAGACAAATCAGAAAGCGTTTGCAAAAAGTAGAAATAGTACAAAGCCACTGGGTGGGGGGAGTAGAGGTGAGGGAATGTGGCAGAGTGCTGGGTTCCGGGGCCACTGAAGATTTCTCTGTCCCCACTTTATGGACTTTCAGGCCCCGGCCCCAGGGCTGACAGATAGACATGATTTTGTCTTTGGCCATGGCACCTACAGTCCTTGTTAGACAGGCTTGCCCTGGGGCCCAACATTCTCTAAGTGACTCACCAGTGAGGCAGCAGGTGCCTGCAACATAGGAGCCATTTCCTGTGTCTCTGAGCAGTCAGGCATCCTAGAGGACCCCACCTTCATTTTTTTCCAAAAGGACCTGAGGGTCAGGGTAGAACCTGGACTAAGTCTGCAGACAGCAGCCTGGGTGCCGGCAGCTGATGAACGTGCGCTGTGCACAGTCCCGTAGACAGAGTCAGAGTGGGCACAATGGTCCCGACACTTTATCCAGAAAAGCAGTCTCACTTTCTTAAATTAGGCAGGGACCACCCCACTGGCCCCCAAGGAGAGAAATTCTAGCCAGGATATCCACTCACAACGTGACACTGTCATCGACAAAGTTTGCACTCAAAAAACTCACTAATTGAGTTACAAAAAGAGCTCATGTTTTATATAAGATTTTATTTGGGGCCATATTCTTAGCAATCTTTAGCTGCATGTGGCCCCTGGGCTGCAGGTTGTACACACCTAGAAGAGCTAATATACCAACCTTACACACGCCCCTCTCCTCAGACAATTTCACCCCAGACCAGTTCCTGACACCAAGCCCCCCACTGCTTCAACCTTCCCAGGATTCCATCTCCCGTTTAATGTTATGGGAGAAAAGCCTATGTCTAGAGGTAGAGGTGGAGGTGGGGTAGGTGCACAGGACGAGGAATGTTGACAAGACGTTCCAGCACACTGACCACAAAGGACTCTTCAAAACAATCTCAACCAGTCTGTACCAATGACTTACCAGCTTGGGCGCAGGACAGCTGGGCACAACAACCTGATCCAGACACAACACCCACATTTCATCAGTGGAAGTAGCTCCGCTGGCCACAGGTCCTGTTCCGGGTGTCGCTGTGCTCGGGCTGAGAATCTGCATAGAGGGGTGATCTGCTGCGTGGTGGGCATACCCTTTGTGTCTGACTTGATTCCATCGCTCTGGCACTGAAACAGACTTGAAACCAAAGCGTGTCATTAAGACAGGAGGTCAGGTCACAACTAAGCCCCCTCTAAAAACCACGCACCATCCTGTGACTGGGAATTAGCAGGTCCCAGCCCTCCCGGGATCACCAGCCTTTTGTTTCAGGACAACTGTGTTGACATTTTGTTTGTGCGCTAACAAAGTTTGCCTGGAGATCAGAGTGAGGAGCTAGCCACTAGTTAATAACCATAGAGGCCAGGCAGGGATGGCACACACCTTTAATCCCAGCACTTGGGAGGAGGAAGCAGGAAGGTCAAAAGTTCAAAGCCACCCTGGGCTACATGAGATTGATCCAGTCTACAAGAGAAACAGAGCCAGGTGATGGAAGCTCACGCCTTTAATCCCAGCACTAGGGAGGTGGAGACAGGAATACACGGTGGGAGGGACAGAAGTGCAGCCCCTTCTCCATCTGAGGAGTCGTGGAGGTAAGAGGTGACTTTGACTGCTCTTTTACGTCTCCGATCTTTCAGCATTTACCCCGATATCTGGCTCCGGGTTTTTATTATTAAGACCAATTAGAATTCGCACTACACGCAACTCTTCTTCGCTGTTCCCACAGGACAGAGAGCCACCCTGTTTCTTAATTCCACAGTACTGTATTAGAAACACTCATGCCATCACGGTAGTCTGAGAGGCAGCTCCCTGCACACTGCAGGCTTAGGACCTGACCCTGGCTGTGCCCATTGCTGTACTCTCTAGGCAGCAGATAAGTGGGTCGAGACCAGAGAAGGCGGCTGCCCTTTGTGGTCTGATCTCGGGTGTGTTGCCTCAGTGAGAAGGTGGGCTGCTTAGAGTTACCTGGAAATGGAACTGTGGCCAGGCCAGGCCCAGGCCCCTTTAAGATTCTGGAGGGGAGGTAGGTTGTACGGAAAGTCTGTAACGTGTGGAGTCTTATTGGGAAGAAATGAAAAAATGCATTCATAAGCAGGAAAAATTAGAGGAACTTTTATATTTTATTTTTATAATTACAATTTTATAATTAATGAACTTCTCGTGTAGAGAAAGGGGGTGCCCACATGGCACAGTGCACGTGTGGAGGTCAGAGGACAACTTGCTCTAGTCCAGAGGTTCTCAACCTTCCTGATGCTGCGACCCTTTAACACAGTCCCTCATGCTGTGGGGACCCCCAACCATACACTTATTTTCATTGCTATTTCAGAGCTGTAATTTTGCTACTGTTATGAATTGTAATATAAAGTTCTGATCTACAAGATTATGTGGCTCCCTGTGGAAGGGTTGTTCAAACCCCCAAAGGGGTCACAACCCACACATTGAGAACCACTGCTGTAGCTGATTTTTTTTTTTTTTCTTTCCACCATGTGAATCACAGAGAATCAAACTTAGGTTGTCAGTCAGACTTGGCAGCAAGCATCGTTACCAGCTAAGAATTTCTAATACTCAAAAATGATTAACAACCAGAGTGTGTGTGTGTGTGTGTGTGTGTGTGTGTGTGTGTGATTTATTATTACAAAAACCGAAACTCCTCTGTGAGCTTTCTAATTATACATATGTAAGATGAAAACAAATAATACAGGTATATTCTTTGACTTTCTAAAGTGCTTCTACAGATGCATTCACTTGTTTATTGACAAAGATCCAGACATTATTCCAGCTCCAGGAGATCATAGCTATGAGCAACAAAGGTAAGATGACAGCCCTCCCCCCAACCACACACACACACACACACACACACACACACACACACACACACACACTTCTGTTGGCTAGGGTGGATAGACTGTATTTATCTGATGATGAGTTCAGAGAGTGGTAAATGTCATGAGGACCAGAAAGTCAGGCAAGGACCAGCATGGTGGCTGTGCTGTCCTCCAAGACAGCCGTGGGAGCTCACTTAAATTGAAGTCTGAATTATTGAAATAAAATGAGACAAGAATGCACCTCTTAAGTTCAATACATTTGCATGCCCAGCGCTAACAACCACACAAGGCTAGTGGCTGGTGGCATGGGTACAGAACACTTGCACCCTTGCAGAACTAATGGCAAAGAACTAAGAGAGACAGGGCCAATTCAAACTGGGTGCCAGGAAGGCCTGTCTGAGGAGGGGCCTTGAGCAGGAGTCTGAAAATGAGAAGAAACCAGTGGCTGGCTGGCAGGGGGCGGAGTCTGGGTGAAGCGGGGTGGTGGTTTGGATAAGAACGGTCCCTATTGACTCATATATTTGAATGCCTGGTCATCTGGGCATAACACTACTTGAGAGGAATTAAGAGGTGTGGTCTTGTTGGAGAAAGTGTGTCACTGGAGGTGGGCTCTGGGCTTTCAAAAGCTCCAACTAGTCCCAGTGTCTCCCTCTCTTCTTGCTGGCTGTGGATCCAGATATAGAACGCCCAGCTACTTCTCCAGCACCATGTATGTCTGCCTGCACCATGCTCCCTGCCAGGATGACAATGGACTGAACCTCTGAGACTGTAAGCCAGCCCCAATTTAATGCTTTCCTTTGTATTCACAGCAGTAGAACACTGACTGAGACAAGGGGGCAGCGACGACAGGCAGGCACATCCAGACTCTGCACAGAGAAATGTAAGAATACGTTTGGCAAAGTTGAGGAAGAGAAATATTGGCGTGGTTGAAGTGTGATCTTGGAGTAAGAGGGACAACAGCAGCAATGAAGTCAAAAGTAATAAGTAGAGGTGACAGCCGTGCTCACCACGTGACAGCAGGATCATCGAGGTGGGTACTACTATCAAGTAAACAAGAGCCAGCAGACCCAGAGGACAGACTACCAAAGCTGCACAGCCAGTGAGGGAACAGACTGGAGTCCAGTGAGGGGTAGAGCCACGTCAGTCAGGGACTACTGTCTATCTGAGGCAATGCCTACCCTGGCTCTAGCTAGCAGTTCCTCAGTCTGTTTTCCTTTTAAACTTTTGGCTTATTGTTTTGTTTATGAAAGGGTGTCACTCAGCAGCCCCAACTGGCCTCAGACTTACACTCCAGACATTGAACTTTTGTTTTTCATCATTTACTTATCTTCAAAGACTACGGAAAAATAAACAATTTATGACTTCTACAAAAGCACACACACACACCCCTAGGAGTTGGTTACTCCAAACTCAATGCATACAACCCAACTTTCCAATCATTGCACAGGACCATTTCAACCCAGTCTTACCTTGTTTGGTTTTAAAGCACCATCCTTACAGTCTTTAAATGGCTATGAAATCACGCCAAGTGTCTCCCGGCTGAGAAGTCTGACTTGAGTTGGTTCTGGCGCTACTCAAGGTTGTTTCAGTTTCTGTGAGGAGAGGGTAGACTCAGGAGAGAACCCGAGGAGTGGGTTTCTGTGTGGAAGAGGGCCTCCTGAGCTGCATGGAACTTCCACATCCTGTTCTTGAGCATTTAGTGGGGCAGGGGCCAAGACTGCAGGGATAATCACGTCTCCTCGGGCCAACTCACCCTACAGCACTCACTCTGCATGCAGGGTCTGAGTGTTCCAGGCTCCCTTGTAAAAGAAGAAATGAGGTAATGAAATTGACAGACCTCCTGGAAGGAAAACTGGAAGGGTGTTTTATATTACTCTACTTCCCGGTCTTTACACATAACTGACTTAGTTAAATAAGGGAAAACTGGAAGGGTGTTTTATATTACTCCACTCCCGGTCTCTACACATAACTGACTTAGTTGCTTAAATAAAAGGTAACTTCTAGTTGGGCTTAGTGCTGCAAGCCTGTAATCCCAGCACTTGGAAGGTAGAAGGATGATTAGGAGTTTGAAGCCAGCCTTAGGTACATAGAATCCAAAGCTAGACTGAGTTACATGAGACCCTTTCGCAACAACTCAACCTCTAACCCTCTCTAGCCTATAACACTTTCCCTTACCAAGTCCAAGTGGTTCATTAGATCTCTTCTAGTAGTGATGGGCAGGCAGTTCAACCGTCATTTCCCTTCCAGCCATAACTGCTTTCCGTGGTGGCCTGCTTCTGGGTACAGGCTTACATCAAGGTTATAACTCCTCAATATTGCCCATACAGGGTACTGCTTTTCCTATTGTTTGATTGTTTGGTTGGTGTTTCTTGAGACAGAGTATCACTATGTAGGCCCAAGTTGACCTTAATCCTCTGTAATCTTTCTCCTTTGGTCTCGTGAATGTTCACATTAAAGTGTGTATCACTACACCTGGCCACCCTTCCCTATTTATGTCAGAATATTTAGCCTCTCTAGGGTGGCCTTTCTTTATTACTAAAATGAGGATAATTGCTGATAAATGCTATTCAATTTCTTGGCACTGTTATGGGAATTAAGGAGGTTAAGGTAGAATTAATGAGGTCAAACAACCATTATCACTGTCAACAATGATGTCATATGATCAGCACTGAAGAGGATAGGAAGGGAGGTGGCCATATCCCCAACCCAGTCTCAAGGCCAGGGTGAGTGAGGATCCATGCACTCCCCAAGGTCTCCCCAGATTAGCCAGAGGGTTTCCATAAGCTCCAGATGCTGCACCAAAGTCACCCATAGACTGGTCGAGCACCGCCACGAGCCCTGCCAAAGTTCCTGCTGGCTCAGCAAAGGAGCAGCCAGCCAGCCACTTCCTATCTGTCTCCCTGGCATCCAGCCAGCTGGCTGGGTCAGAGGCAGCAGCTCCTGTGCAAAATGTAAAAGAAAACCTCTGTACCAGGAAGTCACCCTCGGTCGGGGGAAGCTGCGCTCTCTCTGGTTCTGCCTGGGGAGTGAATAACCTGGGGGTCAAGCTGCTTGGGTCCCACACTGAGGCCTTCCTTAGGCTCACCTTCCCGACACCCATCCTGGCCAGCTGCTTCTTTGCCTGCTGTCTCAAGAGCTGATGATTTCACAGGCAGTGACTCATAACCATTTTCTTGTTTTCCAGGGAAGTCTTGTGTACAGCAAGCAATATCCAGGTAAGGGAAGCCTTCACTTTTCAACACGGTGAAGAGACTTGGAGTATGTTCGGAGCACAGATGTAGAGCCACATTATCTGGGTTTGAATCTGGAGCTGCCACTTTCAATGTTAGGTATGACAGGGACACGCTATTTAACTCTCTGTGACTCGGTGTCCTCGTTTGCAAAACGCTGCAGTAGTAGGACTTACATGGTAGGTATTGATGAGGGTTCAGTGAGTCGGTATCTATATGTGTCTGGAACATAGAAGGTACACATATCAGTGCTTGATAAATAAATTCCGATAATGGAGAATTGGCCATATAAACTCCACATAGTCATTAAAATCTTCATAGGAGCATGGAAATACATTCATGATCCATTATAAGTGAAACTGATTTTTTGTTGTTGTTGTTGTTTTGTTTTTTGAGACAGGGTTTCTCTGTGTAGCTTTGCGTCTTTCCTGGAACTCACTCTGTAGCCCAGGCTGGCCTCGAACTCACAGAGATTCACCTGCCTCTGCCTCCCGAGTGCTGGGATTAAAGGAATGTGCCACCACTGACTGGCCTGTGAAGCTGATTTTTTAAAACTGAACAGTATATATCATTTAAGAAAGACAATAAAGCCGGACAGTGGTGGCGCACACCCTTAATCCCAGCACTCGGGAGGCAGAGGCAGGTGAATCTCTGTGAGTTCGAGGCCAGCCTGGTTTACAGAGTGAGATCCAGGACAGGCTCCAAAACTACAAAGAGAAACCCAGTCTCAACCCCCCACACACAAGAAAGACAGTAAGTCTAGGGCAGAAGAGGGGGCTCAGCAGTTAAGAATGCTAACCGTTCTAATAGAGGACCAGAGTTCAAATTCCAGCACCGACACCAGGTGACTCATAAACACCTCTAACTCCAGCTCCAAAAGACTCAGTACCCCTCTGACCTTCAGGAACACTTGCACACACATGTGTGCATACACACAGAGTCACAATACATCTTTAAATAAAGAAATCTATATAAATGAAAATATTAAAGCATATACTTTTATTCTATAGCAAAAAGGATCTTTCTGCTTTCCAAATTCCCTGTAGTCTGTGTATATTACTTAAGTAATTAAAAAAACAATAAAAATTATTCAGAAAGAGAGCAAATGCAATGGATGTGCAGAATCCAGATGAAATGATCATGCTTTAAAGTCCTGACAACATGATCCCCATGGTCCACAATCTTGTGAGGCTAAGTCACGATCAACATCACATGCCATAGAGAAGTCAAGCATTACCATAAAAACATCCCATAGTATTAAATGTTCCTGTGAATGCATTGCATCATCTGCTTTCTGGGAGTAATCAAAAGCCAACTGCACCTCCAGAGTCAGACCTGGATCTTACCTAAACAACAGCTGACCCACATACACCAAATCACCAGACAGCCCGCCCACCATGGTAAAGCAATGGGCTGAGCAAGGTGGTGAGTGAGGGGGGTCATGAGAGTTCTGAGTACAGACGGGACAGGACAGGGTCGGGTGACATTCCTCTAGCCACTGAGTCAGAGGTTTCAAGGAGGAAATGGAACCTTGGGGGCTAGTGAAATAAAGGAAGGAGATAAGCATCCCATCTTGATACTCATTTGTGGAGAATGTGATTGGGGACCAGTAAGGCAAGAGCTACCCCTGAACCAAGAGCTTCAGCAAATCACTTCCCAACCTTGCAAAACAATTCCAACTTCCAAGTATCCCGAATCTGGAAAGAGCCCCAAAATTCTAACCACTGGATACCAAGTATGCTAGTACACAGCATCTGGAGCCCACTTGCAAATAAATAAGACCCCACATACCCTACATCTGGATTTCAGATGGATGAGACTAGCATTAGATGGAAGACTGTGTGTACCAGAGAACACGCGTTAGGACGGATCCGGAAACCATGTCAGCACATGCCAATGTGCCTCCTTTGGCTTGGCCTCCTCTAACACTTGTCATTTTATCCAAACCATGGTGGGTCCTTTGAAAAATGTCATAATCTTTTTCTTCTCTGCATGTTTAGTTCATAAATTCTTTCCCTGGCATCCCATCACACTCCATAAATGGGAGGCGCTTTGGAAGAAAATTAAATGCTACTAGCAAATTCTGAAGCTGGGTGGCTTCGGGAGACTTTGGGCTGACAGAAACAGGGTTTCATTTCCTCCTTCAATCTCTTCAAATGTCAGGGCCACAGGGCTCCACCCCTGTACAGTTACCCTATTCTCAAACTGCACTGGTAACTGTATAAAAAAGACCATCCTGACACTCTCTAAAACACACGAATTAGCTGGAGTTGCTGCTTCCTTCCCAAAGAATAATGGTGTCTGGGGTGGCCTTTGCTCTACAGGGGACAGCCCAAGGCTCAGGCTGTTCTATGTCTCCATGAAAGGTGACAGGGATGACAACATCCAGACATATTTCCATTCGTGTCTGTCAGCATCTGCGTCTGAAGCTCCAGGCTAGCAAAAGCAGAGGACACAAATTTTCTATCAGGAGAATGGATTGTGTCTTTGAAGAAGGTATTTCTTCTTAAATACTAATAGGGTTTTTTTTTTTTGGAAAGCGGGGGGTGGGGGGGTGGGGGGTGGGGGGGGCCGTGATGAGAGAGTTATTTCTCGTCATGACATGTGGTTCATGCTACAGAGAAAAGAACAAGGGGTCTACAGAGGCCGAAATAGAACGCTTGGTAACACTCAGGCACCAGTGGTGAGCCCGGGCCTGTGAAGTGGGGCGAATGCTCCCTTCATGTGACCTCCAGTGTTCAAGGGCCACACTGCTCTCTGTCACATTGCCTTTCTTTTCCTCTGGTTCCTCCCGGTCTGTGGTCTGTTCAAAGCGTACCCAGCAGGGAAGTGGGACCAAGGAGTCTGCCCGGCCAGGAAGTGGTTTTGAGCAAATGCTAAGTTCTCAACTCTTTCAGAAAACAGCTCTCTCAAGCTTCAGTGGAGTGGGCTGTGGTCTATACAGGTGTTTGCCAGTGGCTCCCCGAACATGGGGGCCATGGCTCTCAGAATCGCTCACCGTGTGCTATGGTTTGAATGTGTCCACCCAAACACGGGGTTGGGAAGTTAAGCCTCACATTCATTTGTTAAGGGTATTTGGATAAGGGATCTGTGAGAGTAGTTAGAATTAGATACATTCATGAGGGACAGGACTTCTGTGATGGCATCAGTGACTTCAGAAGACCTGTGCTACCACACTTGCTCTCCCACCACGTGATGCCTCCTGCCCTGTCATGGTACAGCAAGAAGATGTGGCATCAGGCTCTTACACCTCCCACCTTCAGAGCTGTGAGATAAAGGAGCCTCTATTCTTTGTAAATTGCTTGGCCTCAGGGTATTCAGAGGTAGTAACAGAAAGTGGAAGGAAACATCCTGTGTGTGGACGTCTTGAACTAATGTCATTGAATTAGGACTAAAGGTTCAACAGTCAACCCTGCCTTCCTTTCTTTTTCAAGGAAGAAGGAAGAAGGGGGTTATTTTCTGTACTAGAGAAAAGGGAAGGCTCTTTGACGCAAATCCTTTTGTGTTGTCTTAAATTTTTCTATTTCTTATTTATGGGATCATAGATGAGAGAAACTCTTCCATCAGATCAGCCTGATTCTCCTCTATTATGACCAGGGTTTCACTTCTTCTGTGACATCACAGGAGAACCTTTTTCCTTGATGGTTCATTGTGTAATTAACTCACATATCTACTTTAAATAAGTAATGCAGTTTTAAGAAAAGGAGTTATATAGAAATTATCTTCCTATAATCAAGTCCCCAAATGAGTAAACCTACTTGGTTCTGCGTTTCCTTTGCTTTTCATATGGTTTGGGGGTCAAGGGGGGAGGGCATACTCGTAGCTTTAGATACTTTTTAAATAGAAAAGGAAAGTTAGACCAACTTAACTGATAGGAGTCCAAGTGTCTCCGGATTCGGGAAGCAGTACATGCTTTCCCGGTGGGATAGGGATTGGGGAGATGGGAAGATAGGAACCAAGAAAGGCTGACCAAGAGCAGGCTTTCCCAGTCAAGTGGCCTTTTCCTTCCGTCTTTGCTCCTGCTGGAGGCCGTGGACCTGGAAAGTCTGGCCAGCAGGATTGTCCCGGCACAGCTGGGGCTGGAGAAGCCTCACTCCTGCTGCATCCCCCACCTCTCTTTGTCTCTTCCCTTAGAGACCTTGAAGGACACCCCTGAGAAGGGACCCCGAGAACTCAGCACTCTGGAACACTAGCAGGGGAGGCCGTGTCTTCGTCCAGAGTAATCCGGGAATTCAGTGCAGAGCCTCAGAGACCCTGCTGAGCATTTCCCCAAGCCCAGCACCTCCCCAGCGTCCTGCCCCCAACCCCACCATTCCTCCCCAAGGCTCACTGTCATGACTGAGAAGTCCCTAAGGCTGCAAGCTTAGAGCGGCTTTGGTGGTGGCTTGTGAGCTTTAGGCCTGGCGCACAGAGACCATTCAGTCCCAAGAGTTATGACTGCTGTCCAGTTCTGTCCTCGATGCTCCTCCAACCCCACTTACTGCTTGTTTTCAGTCTTTCTATTTTCCAACAAAGTGACCGTACTAGTTCTCCACCTCTATCACAAACGCCTGGGATGAGGTAAATTCTAGTGATCAGTATCAGAGACGTTGACCCATGGGTTGGTTGGCATTATTGTTTTAGCTTTGTGGCAGCACTCTGTAGTAGAAATAGAAGGCAGAACAAAGTCACTCACCCCACAGCCAGGAAGCAAAAGGGCAGAGAAAGAAACCAGAGCCCCAGAGTCTCACAGTCCGTCCAAGAGCAAGTCCCCGGTGACAGAAAGAATGCCCGGGGGGGTGGGGGGGGTCTCTCCTGCTGTGTCACCGTCTCCCAATAGTGTCCAGCTGGGGACCAAACCTTTTTCTAAAAAGTTATAACACTTTTATTAATTATTTGAGACTTTTATAAAACATACCTTGACTGAAGACCAAACTCAACACGTCACTTATCCAAAATACAGCAATGACTACCCTATCCCACGAACTTTTTTCTTTTATTGAAAATAAGGTGGTTTTTTTTCATGCAATATATTTTGATTATGGTTTTCCCTCCCTTTACTCCCCCAAGTTCCTTCCTACCTCTCCTCCATCCAGAGCCACCCCCTTTCTGCCTCTCTCTCTAGAAAACAAACAGGCATCTAAGGGATAATAACAAAGTAAGATTCCATGAGTGTGATGGTCATTTGTGGTTGTTAGCTTGACTACCTCTGGAACTAACTAAAACCCAAGTGCCTGGGTGTACCTCTGAAGGGTTTTCTTAACTAAATCATTTGAAGTGGGAAGACCCACTTTTAATCCAGATCTTTTGAGGTGGGAGGATCCACCTTTAATCTGGGCCACACCTTCTGGTGGCAGCCTACATAAACGACATGGGAGAAAGAAATTTGCTCTCTTTGCTTGCTTCCTCTGGGTCTCTCTGGCAAGTCCATTCCTTCACTGGCATTAGAGCCCACTCCTTTGGAATTCTGGTTTAAACTGATGACTCTCTGAGACATCCAGCTTCATGGACTGAACAACTGTTGGATTCTTGGACCTTCCGTTGCTAACAGTCATTATTGGATTAGCAGGACCACAGCCTGTCAGCCATTGTAATAAAGCCCATATATATTCCCTCTTTTCCTCTAGAGGACCCTGACTAATACAAAAAGATAAAACCAAACAATTAAGATAGGACAAAGCAAATAAGGAAAAGAGCCCAAGGAAAGGCACAAGAAATAGCTACAGATGCAGAGACTCACTCGTTCCCACACCCGGTAACCCCACAAAAATACAAAACCAGGAGCCATATGTATGTGGAAAACCTGTAAGATAGATAGATGTAAAATTAAATTAAAATAAAAAGGCCTGATGTGACATTATGAGACAAGATGACGTTGAATTTGCTTTTTGTTAGCCACCTACCGCTGGACATGCAGGCTACCCTTGAGAGTAGTTTCCCTGGCAAGATTCCCTTGGAGAAAAAGAAATTTTCATTTGCAAGTGGTTATCAATTGGAGACAGGTTGGGGGTTAAGGATGGGACGTGTCTTCACTTTCCCTTTCAGTTCTAGGACCTCATCTGGTGCACACCCAAGCAGGCCCTGTGCATGCTGCCTCAGTCTCTGAGTTCAGATATGCATCCGTCCTGCTGTGTTTAGAGGGCCTTGTTCCTTGTCCCCCACCCCCTCTGGCTCTTACTCTTCCTGCCTTGTCTTCCCTGAGCCCTGAGAGGAGGGATTTGATGGAGACATCTCATTTAGGGCTGAGTGTTCCAAGGTCTCTCACTGCATATTGTCTGGCTGTGAGTCTCGACGTTTATACCCATCTCTGATGATGGCCAAGCAAGGCACTGATCTGTTTCACTGGCCTACTTGCTTCTCTGGCAGGCTTGGCTGGCAGGTTCCCAGGGTATGCCTGCTGCAGTTGGGGGCTGCTTCCCTACTGTGTGCCCTTGGACTCTTAACACTTTGTACTGGCTGCTTTTGTGTGTCAACTTAACACAAGCTAGAGCCATCAGAGGAAGGAGCCTCAGTTGAGGAAATGCCTCGATGAGATCCTGCTATGAGGCATTTTTTTCAGTTAGTGATCAATGGGAGAGGGCCCAGCCATGGTGGGTGGTGCCGTCCCTGAGCTGGTGGTCCTGGGTTTTATAAGAAGGTGGGCCAAGCAAGCCATGGGAAGCAGGCCAATAAGTGACTCCCCTCCATGGTCTCTGCATCAGCTCCTGCCTCCAAGATCCTGCCCTGTTTGAGTTCCTGTCCTGACTTCCTTCAGAGGTGAACAGCAATGCTGACGTGTAAGCCAAATAAACCCTTTCCTCCCCAACGTGCTTTTCGACCATGGTGTTTTGTCACAACAATAGAAACTCTAACTGAGATACACGTGCTGTTTTGTGATTCTTGTTCTCAGGTTTTTAGATCTCCAGTGTCTCCAAGATCCTCATTTCTCTGTCTCCAGTGTTCTTCAAGTGACCATTTCACAGTCTCTCTAGGCTTCTGCATGCACCTGCTCCTTCCCCATTCTCCATCCTGGCCACCCCCAACTCCCCTGCGTCACTTTCTTCCTTCAGCCATTGTCTGTTTTCTTGCGGGCTCCTCTGTCCTGCCGGAGCCCCCAGCTCTCAACCTTTTTCTCCTACGCATGCCTTCTTTATGGTTTCCTTTCTTTGATGTCCACCCATTGCTGCTTCCGGGCACCCAGATGTGTACCATAGCGGGAGGAGAATGGTCTCCACTGAGGACAGCCATCACTATCCTATTACAACTTATGAGTAAGGCCAAAAGGAAACCAATTCTGTCTAGAACTGGGCTCTGCCCTCCTCTCTCCTCTTCTCACTAGACTGAGAAGCAGAGCATCCTCAGATCCTTCTCTCCATGCTGGACCCTTAATTATATGCTGTTCTTATTCCTGAATACAAACTTATTAATAACACGTACGAGGCCACACCCATCAGGCCTGGTCCCCATTGAACACTCAGCCTCATGTGGTACTGTTTGTCCTCTGAACTCCTGGCACATGGTTCTCTCATGCTATCACCTGCTCCTTCTGAGTACCTTTGCTCTAGCTATTCCTTCTGCATGGAACACTCCACCCCTTTCCACACCCTTTGCCTGTTTGTGAGTTATCTGTTCCAAACACAACCACTTAAAACAAAGATACTGTTCTCTCACATTTCCTTTGGGTTAAGAATCTAGGAACAACGGCCGGGCGGTGGTGGCGCACGCCTTTAATCCCAGCACTCGGGAGGCAGAGCCAGGTGGATCTCTGTGAGTTCGAGGCCAGCCTGGGCTACCAAGCGAGTCCCAGGAAAGGCGCAAAGCTACACAGAGAAACCCTGTCTCGAAAAACGGAAAAAAAAAAAAAAAGAATCTAGGAACAGCTTAACTAGGTGGTTTCAGTTCAAGGTCTCATTAGAGGCCACATCCATGCTGCCAGCCAGGCTTCAGGCATTTGGAGCGAAAGGATCTCTCTCCAACCTCCCTCCAATGGGTGGTGGTAGACTTCAGGGAGTTGACTCAGCCTGATGGTGGAGACCTCAGTTCCTTGCTGCATGGCTCTCAGTGGTCTGCCTGAGCATCCTTAGCTGCAGATTTGGCTACTTCCTGAATGAATGGATGCAGATGCTGATGCTGACAAAGGCAAGAGATGGCAGTACCAGTCTCTTGTAATCTCATCTCAGAAATAGCACACCCCTTCTATCGTACGCCACAAAAACTAAACCCCACACAGGGTGGGAGGAGAGGTCACGCAGTGCGCATAGAAGGAGGTGCAGATCCCTGGGGGCCATCTTAAGGTTGGGTAAATTATCAATTCCTTTTCCTTATTATATGTTTTTGGGGTTTTCTGATGAAAGCTGGTCTTCTCCACTAGACCATAAGATTCTCAGGAAGCAATGTTTGTGCTACTCACGTGTCTGTTAGCTTTTGCTGGAAAACATACCAATGGAAACTTAGTGGCTCCAAAAAAAAAAAAAGCATCCATCTATTATTTGCATGCAGCTGCGGATGAGCTGGAGTTCTCCTGGTCTGGAGCAGGCTCAGCTGATTAGGCTGCGCTAACTCATGCATCTGGCATCACTCTTGGGTAAGATGGGACTGATGGGTCTAAGATCACTTCCTTTATTTCTCCGGCAGGCGGCTGACCATTGGTCAAAGCAAAGGAAGTGAACGACCCTTGCATCTTTCTCCATCTGGGCAGAGAGCCTGGGTGTGTCTACCTGGAAGCTATAGAGTTCCAAGAATTCCAAGGAATGGAAGGGTATAAGGTCTCTTGAGACCGATTTTCAAGAGGTATATTCTTACTTCTATTATATACCACTGGCAAGCTCCTTTGCCTGATGAGGACAATTACTTCACCTACACAAACTGTAGGTGACCACTGAGTGCTACTGAAGGGCTTTTGTGTGGTTGCATATGCTGTCTTAAACACATACAAGTCATGTCCTGTATCATCTTGACCTTGATCTGACCTACCTAGGGTTCCTAAACTCTAATTAATGCACAATTAATTCTTGGGGCCACAGTGGGTAGGTGGGTTCTGTGTTATTTACCATTAGCACAGCTTCTCTAACCCCGAGGCAAGAGACTTCCCCTCCTCGGGTGTCTGGACTCCTGGTCCACTGTCCTGCTGCTTGCCCTCTAGTCATCAGGATAGCGCTCACTGCTGAAGTCCATTTACCTTCTAGACATGCCTTCTTCCCAGGTTAGTGGTCTCATATCTAGGTTCTTCCCTTTCTTTTTCCATAGCTTCATCCCTTCCCATCCCCCACTTGCTATTCTGACCTTTGTTTTCATGCCAGGGAGGTTGCTAAGAAATTACACAATTGTCTGATTCATCCTGACATCAGTCCTATGGCACAGGAATTACTCTCACCGCCGTTTTCCTGATGAAAAGATTGAGATGTGCAGAGTTCACATGCCTTCTCAAGACCACAATCTATGTGAGTGGAAGAACCAAAATTAAACTTGAGGTCTGCTCCAAAACTCATCCTTTGTTGCTCAGTTGTGTGTTCTGTGGCAACTTCCTGCTAGAATGTTTCTCCTCTCTGTCTGGATGGTCTACATGTTCTCAGCATTTTCTCAAAACTACCATCACCCTCATCCCTTGCTTTGACTTTTATCTAGGACAATAGACCCTTCTATAAGGATATTGTTCTGTGATGTTTGTCATGATTGTTGATAGACACATGTGGCTTTAGAGCACTTGATAGATTGTTAGTATGAAGATACATGAACACACACATACAATCATATATATATATATATATATATATATATATATATATATATATATATATATATAAAATGAATGAGACCGGGTCTAATGTAGCCTAGACAAGTTGGCCTTGAACTCATTATGTGGCTCAGGACGACATTGACATTGAACTGCTGATTGTCCTGCCTCTACTTCCAAATCTGGGGATTACCAGAATGTGCCACCATGCCCAGCTTATGCCACAAAAGGGTTCAAACCCAGAGCTTTGCATATGCTAGGCAAGCGCTCTACAAACTGCACTGTGTTTCCAGCTCAAACAACTGAACTTGAAGTTGACCTCCTGCACTGTGAAGTACTACTCTGTGGTCTTTTGGTACAGTTTGTGATTAGAAGGAGGATGGGAGATGGGGGCCAGGAATGAGTACACGGGAGGAAAGCAACAGGAAGAAGCTGCAGAACTGTTTCTCATGAATCCCGATGGACTCAAGATTAAACTTCTCATAAGGAAAGTATGTCCAACAATGTCCAGATTCCTGGCATAAGATTCTTTCAGAATCTATGCTTTCCACTCACCAAATCATTAACAGTGGTACCAAGAATGCCAGGCCCTACCCATGATATTGAGACTCTCCAGAGACAGCCCTCCTTAGCAATGTGTGGGATGAAATATGTTCATTCCAGCATAAAGATAAAAAGAAAGCACTCCAGTAAGGCTGCCTTTATCAGCGTACGCTGCTAAAATCAGTACATAGTCCATATGACCTTTGACCTGCAGCTTAGAATTCCACAGAGCTGTACTTCGGGTTTTCTGGACATGCATATTTAAAGTCCACAGCAATAATTCCAGAAACTTAAATGCTCTACTTTTTATCGGCTCAAGACAGCCTCCAGGACTTTTCTGCAAAGAGATATCAGAAATGGCTACCTGATAAATTTGGTTCTAGTGAGCCTTCAAAGATTTCTATTCTATTTCTATTCCTCAAAAATATTTACTAAAGGAGTCTGACCTGTTGTACAAATAAATAATTCATTCTTTTGCTGATTTTTAAATTCAGCCAACCATCCATCCACACATCTACCCACCTGCCCACCCACCTGCCCATCTATATTTTCTGAGCACATGGGGAGTTCTCAAATACAGCTGGCAGAGAGGGGCTGAAAAATGAGAAATACA